AAATATTACAATATTAAAGAAATGTTCTTGTTAATTTGATGAAAACAATTTAAATATCCAGTGCACTCACATCAGAATAACTTTTAGATTTGTTGTTAGAATAATCGATTAATCGAAAAAATAATCGTTAGATTAATTGATTAGAAAATAATCGTTTGGTACAGCACTAGTCTTTGTAATTGACTTTAGGTTCATCAAACCAGAACACATTTTCCCTCTAATGTTTAGTAGACTTATATGCTGTATTTTACAATATTTAGCTGGGCCTGGATTTTTTTTTATAAGGAAAGTCCACCCTTCTCCAATGGCAGACAAATGGAGACTGTAAGAGATTGTTGTCACATGTGGAACACAAGCAGTACTTGTTAGAACTTCCTGCAGCTGTTTCAGTGTTTCTGTGAACCTCTGCAGCTGCAGTCACCATCATTAACTTAGAACATGTGTTTCATGTAATGTTCTGTCCTTCAGCCTCATGAATCTGTTCTGTTTGTGTGTAGACGTGTGTGATAAAGAAGCAGTGGTACAGCAACTTGTTCAGCTGATCTGCTTAGAGGGAGATTCGATGGATAAAAAGGTAAGTTGGGTAAAATTATAAAATAAAAAGATGTTGATTTGCTTTGAACACATTTTAGGGATTTTCTCATCTCAGCAGCAAATAAGAGCTGCTTTGTGATACGTGACAGGCCAGTTGAACATAATTCTACATGGGTTAGACACGTAAACAGTACAGTTTTATGATGAGTACAAATTTTCTTACATGTACACCTGTTTTTTGACAAGTATACCATTTTTTGAAATATATTCCAGTTTTATGACATGTATGCCATTTTTTGGACATGTATACAATTTTTGCATATATCAGTTTTATGATGTGTATGCCAGGTTTTTTTTTCATGTATACAAGTTTTATGACATACCATTTTTATTTGTATACCAGTTTCTTAAAGGGGACCTATTATGCAAAATTCACTATTTAAAGGTTTTTTTACTCAACTTTGGGTATGTACTTCTTAAAAAACAGTCCTAGGACCAAATAAATGCACCCAGGGGCATATTTACTGTAAGTACATGTGTTTTTAATGTATATTAACGACAAGTTTTATACTTACGTCATTTTGTGATGTCACAAGTCTTACGACAACCCACCAGAACCTGCGTTCAGCCCCTTACCTAGCAACCCCCAGGCGAAGCTCCACCTCCTCAGTATAAAAAGCTGTCACGGTGTTGTTGTTCAATGCGCAGTTCATTTCTCAACAAGCCTCCAATAGGGCAATGGGTAGAGTGTTGGACCAGAGAGCAGGAGACCAGGGTGTGAGACCAGCACGAACAAAATTTAATTTTTTATTTTCATTCGTTATGAACATGTTTTCTCATGTACCTCTATTATTTAGCTTATTAAAGCCTTGTTAAAGCCTATTT